GAATGACTATGACCTGGATGACTGGGAATCTTCATCAGCACACTAGTTACATTCTGCAATCAGTGAGTACACCAAGTTCAGAGAAACTATTCTTGTTACTTATTGTGGTGGATTTACAAATAAATGTTTGTTTTGATTAGCTATATCGATGTTTATAGACCATTAATGTGCCCAAATAACACACATAAATGTATAACAACACCTAAATATGCTCTTAAATGTTACCATTAGTTTTAGTGACCTGTTGTGAATCCAGATGCTGTGATTTGATCAGTTAAATTTTTTATACCATTTCTGTAAATTTGCTGCCATCTGGCTCTGGCATGATTTGCACATGCCCTTTGGAGTGGATGCAGAGAATATTCTGGGTTGCTCTCTCTCTGCATTGCATCTTTATATTTATTATCTTGAAATTTAATCAGCCTGTGTTGTGCATGGAAACATGTGCTTTTGGCTAACTTAGAGACATTTATTGACTTTAATTATGTTTGCTTTTGTAACACTTTAAAAAAAAAACTAAATAAATCATTAAAACAAACCAAAAAAGAACTGCTTTGAGGGATCACCAAGCTGGAAAGGCTCACCTTAGTGCACTTTAAGCCCAGTAAAAAAAACAGCCATTCTATGAAGGCCGTAGAACAGCAAAAAGAGATTCATTGGTGAGATAAAACTGTAAGACGTCCAATATGTGGTTTGCCACAAGATATGCAAGGGGAGGTGCTCTAAAGGAAATGGAATATGTTTGGTAATTTTTGCTTTAACTTGTACTGCATGTAGGCCTCATTTAGCCTAGATGATTTTTATTTTCCATTGCCAAAACTGTTAAACTGATATTTATGAATTGTTCCCTTTGATGCATGCAGTATATAAATAGCCCTTTCTTGTCATGCACATCCTTGTGACGGTTTGCATATGGTGTAATTTTCTATTTCTTCAAACTGTAAAATCCTTGCAACAAACTAAATTAGAATAAAACTAAAATGCTCTCTTTAAACCAAACTACGATGTTCCTCTTATATCTGGCGAATTTATGCTAAAATATTTTTGCAAAAATATGTTGTGGTGCATGATGGGGTTTTGCATCTAAAAGATATTTCAAATCTTACATGCATTGTTGGCAGGTTGGGATGTTTCCCAATCTGGCAGTTTAGGATGGCCGCCTAAGAGATCAATAGACTTTGGTTCAATTTGGGCGAGATTTCGTATATCCAGGCAGTTTATGAACATTTTTTTTGGGCTGGAGAACGCAAGTCAATGACATCTGGCTACCCTGCTGATGTGGTGAGTGTGGACGTTACACAGCAGCAGTCACTGTCACATCCCTGTTAATAACCAAAGCCAGTAAAACCGCATTATAGAAGTCTAGGTGATGGTTTTCGTCTGATGCTTGAAGATAGATTGATTAATCCACAATGTGTATTCGTAATGTTCACATTTGAGACACACGTTTGACTGTGCTGATAGAAAAATGACAGGGCCGAAAATCATTCCCAGTCCGAGCCTGGACCTGTACAACCTGGTGATCTAACGTTATGTTTTACCAGCACAACCACAGGAAAGGTTCTGCTCGTAAACTCTTAATAATGATATGCTAAAAAAAACAAAAACGTAGAGATTTACTTTGCATAATTATGCAAATTTCCAGTGTTTTTGTGACTTGTTTTTTTACTTTAAGAACAAAGTGACATTTTGTTTTACAGTCAAATATTTGATTACATAATGCCAGGGGCGGAGCTAAATGGGGGGGCAGCTTAGCCAATCATTGGCCACCCCTGTGGCCACCTTACCATTTATTTCTCTCTAATACAGATGGTGGCAACAGTAGTACTCTCAAGTGGAATATTCAAAACATTTTCATTTTTCATATAACAATTAACAATTGCTAGACAACAAAAACACTGTGGTTAATTCTGCACATCAATATACTAACATTAAAAATGAGAAGTCCAGGCAGAAATAGATTTTGTGTTTTATGGGGTAAAGAGAAAAGTCCTCTAGGAGTCTTCAGTGTTGTGAATAAATAACTATTTTAATCAAAACTTATTAAATAATCAATTTATGTAGATATTAGCACTTAATGTAGACAGCTGGAGATAGGCACCAGCACCCCTTGGGATAAGCGTGTAAATGTTAAATGGCCTGTAATTGTATAGCACTTTTTCAAGTCAGGAGACTTGACCAAAGCGCTTTACACTACATTCACTCATTCACCCATTTACACACTGATGGTGGCAAGCTACATCGTAGCCACAGCTGCCCTGGGGCTCACTGACAGAAGCGGGGCTGCCGTACACTGGCGCCACCGGGCCCTCTGACCACCATCAGTAGGGGATGCAGATGAAGTGTCTTGCCCAAGGACACAACAACACTGAAAGTCAGAGCCGGGGCTTGGACGCCACTGTCGCCCCTTTAAACTAAGAAAATGGATGGATAGTACTTGTACTTGTCAATTTTATGCTGGATGATTACTGATAAACCCAAAAGTAGTTAAGTAATGACAATGGAAAAGGTATTAGCGCAAAACTCAAACCTGAAAGAATTTTGTCCGCCATACCTTTTATCTAGAAAGCACAGCTGTTTGAATATATTCCTCTATTTGTTAGCAAAGGCTGTAGGGAATATAGTTTGTCTTTATTTAGAAAATATGAATGTTTTGCTCATTAATTTTCCTGTTGCAACATTGTAGATTGACTGTGAAGTTTTGGTGTCTATCTGCTTTCGGCCCCCCTTCAGTGTACATTGGTTAGTGCCTGGCCACCCTTATAAAAATGTTTTGGCTACGCCTCTGCATAGTGCAGTTCAAAATATATATAAAATATTCTTTTTTTTTTTCTTTTTTTTTGGCCAAACATAGAAGAATATCCTCATGTATGACTCAATATTAGCTAGATCTGGCTATAGAATGTGATTTAATGTTTTTGACATTCGCCTGTATTTAAACCTGACTGCAGGTGCACACATACATCCATGAAGTTGGTGAGCCGCTCCACCGGGAGGCTGGGGGAGGGCGCGCTGTCCGGAGCTCCAGCACTCTGCGCCAGAGCCCGAAGTTCTTCCACAGTTCTCCCATTGTCACTCATAAGGCGGCGCAGACTTCTGGTTTTATAAAGCGGTACTCTGCAACGACATGTTTATTGGATTAAGGCGCAGCCATTGTGAGCATCACGGGAATAAAACACACTTCCTGGTTCTCCGCCTTTCGCTGCTCCGATAAAAACTAAATTAATAAACAGAAATAAAAAAAAGGGCAGAATAATGCGTTTTTAAATTCCGTTATATTTATGGTTGGTGATAACGGATTAAATTCACGTGCGTCTCAAGTTAATTAAACGACGCACGCGCGTTCCTCCGCCTGCTAATGATGCGATAAATATGTGATAACACTATTTACCTTATGAGGGAGGCGCATTGAGTCACAAGCAGCGCCAGGATCACATAAAGCATCTTAACTCCACTCATGTCTGCGCTTTTCGTGAGAATTAAACTTAGTTCCCACTTCAGAGCTGCTTTGGAAACAGAAGCTCCGCAGACACAGCCCACTTTTCAAACTGACGCACAGAACCGAAAAGCTGCTTCGGAAATGTCCGGAAGAATTCGGCACTTTACGTTATGCTGCTCGTTCATTGGATAAAAAATAATCAGCAGGATCCTCTGATTGGTCAAAGAGCCTGACTGATAAATACATAAAAACACGAGTCACGAGTTGTCATGTGAATACGCTGGCACTCCCACATGAAGCATTATGATAAGTTTGGTCTATTATCAGGAAGGTAAACCTAAAATAAGTTAAATATTTCTTCCTGAATGTGTAATGTCTCAGAAATATAATCCATTGCTAAGACTTTTCCATTACTGTTTTTAAAGCTGTGGTCTCAAGCTCAAATCCTTGAGGGCTGTTGACACATAACTTTTAGATGTTCTCCTGAATCAAGTGGCTAAACCTTACATTGGAGTCAGGTTTATTAAAGCAGCGACCTGCAGGACACTGCATTCCTCGACAGCCCTCATCCAATTTAAAGCATCTATAGCAGGGGTCTCAATGTTTTCAAGGCCAAGGACCCCGAAACTGATGGTGAAAAGGAGCGGGGACCCCCTAATTTTATATATATATACA